CGGGGGGAGAAGGGGGCTGCTTAATAAGTATGGGGTTTCCATTGGGGTGATGAAAACATTTTGGAAATAGTAGTGATGGTTGCACAATCATGGTGTACCAATTGTTACTGAATTTTAAACTTTCAAATGGTCAAAATGGCAGATTTTATGTTATGCGTATGTTACCACAATAAAATTAATTAATTTAAGATATCAGCTGTTCAATTAATTAGTTCTGAAATTCTACTTCTTTTTTTTAAAGAATAGTTTATTGATTTTTAGAGAGAGAGGAAGGGAGAAGAGAGAAACATCGATATGAGAGCTAAACGTTGATCGGCTGCCTCCTGCACACCCCCTACTGGGGATGAGCCCAAAACCCAGGCATGTGCCCTGACCAAGAATTGAACCAGCAACCCATCAGCCCACATCCTCCTTCTACCAGGTCAGCATCCAGCACGGAGCCTTCCCATCCAGCCTTGGCCCTCAGTGGCCTCTCCACTACCAGGCCCTTCACCCAGAGCCCAGGGGTCAGCCAACAGGGCACTGGGAGGACACCCATCTCTCCTTCACCATGTGCTTCAGTCAGCACCAGGATTGTAGCAGGAGCTCCCACTGCCAAGGGGGTTAAAAACAAAACAAGCCACAAATAGTTGGCACCCAGAAAAGCCTAGAGCAGAAACACAGGGCACTGAGCAAAGAGCAGAGTCACAGAGCAGCTGGGGTCTGGCTGGGGCTTGCCCAGAGCCAGCGCACCCAGTGGGCAGCTTCCAACCATGTCCAAGTGTCACCACCCAACCTCCTCTACAAGCGACACACTCAAGGGTGGACTCAGAGGGCACCAGAGCCCATTGAAGTAAGTCCTGCTCTGTGGGGTGGCCCCCACACAGGTGACCCTCCATGGTGGTCAGTGGTCACAGCCAGTCCTTGCAGCTGATCAGCCCAGAGTTAAGTCCCTCCCATTGACAGGCCAACAGCAATCAAGTTTCAACTACAAGAGGAGGGTGTACACACTCCACTCGGAGGTGGGGGTGGGGTGGGGTAGGGTGGGATGTGTGTGTGCACATTGGGGGCCCAGCTTGGGTGATTAGAAGGCTGTGCCACTGGACCCTACAGAACACCTATTACATTAGGCCACTCTACCAAGCCTGGGAGACCTAGCAGCTCGACCTAACGCACAGAAACAAACACAGGAAGGCTGTCAACAGGAGGAAACAAAGAAATATGTCCCAAATGAAAGAAGAGAATAAAACTCTAGAAAATGAACTAAACAAAATTGGAGCAAGCGATCTATGAGATGCAGAGTTCAAACACTGGTTATAAGGGTGCTCACTGAACTTAGTGAGAGCCTCAACAGCATAGAAAGGACCAGTTAGAAATGAAGGATACACTAACTGAAATGAAGCATCATCTACAGGGAACCAACAGTCGAGTAGATGAAGCTGAGATTCAAATCAGCAATTTGGAACATAAGGAAGCAAAAAACAAAAACAAAAACAAAATACTCAATCAGAACAGCAAAAAGAATAAAAAATAAATAAAAAGAAAAGAAAACAAGAATAGTATAAAGAGCCTCTGGGACAACTTCAAGTGTACGAATGTTTGCATCATGGGGTGCTGGAAGAAGAAGGAGAGAGAGAAAGAGAGAGAGAGAGAGAGAGCAAGATATTGAAAACCTATTTGAAAAAAATGACAGAAAAATTCCCTAACCTGGTGAAGGAAATAGATATCCAAGTCCAGGAAACGCAGAGAACACCAAACAAGATGAACTGAAAGGGACCCACACCAAGATACATCATACTTAAAATGCAAAAAGTGAAAGACAAAGAGAGCATCTTAGAAGCAGCAACAGCAAAGCAGTTAGTTATCTACAAGGGAGCTCCCATCAGACTGTCAGCTGAAACCTTGCAGGTCAGAAGGGAGTGACACAAATATTCAAAGTGATGAAAAGCAAGGAGCTACAAACTAGATTACTCTACCCAGCAAAGCTATCATTTAGAATCAAAGGACAGATAAAGACCTTCCCAGACAAGGAAAAACTAAAGGAGAGCATTACCACCAAACCAATATCATATGAAATGTTAAAGGGTTAAGAAGAAGAAGGGAAGAAGACAGCGAAATATGAACATTAAAACAGCAATACACACATATCTATCAACAATTGAATCTAAAAAACAAAACGCATAAACAAGCAAAGCAGAAAGAGACTAATCGAGAGCATTTTGACAGTTGCCAGATAGCAGGGGGTTGGGGGGGCGGGCAGGGCAGGGGAGCGGGGTAGGTGTAAAAGCTGAGGGATTAAACAATACAAATCGGTGGTTACAGAATAGTCACGGGGATGTTAAAGTACAGCAGAGGGAATATAGTCAATAATATTGTCATAACTGTGTATGGTGCCAGGTGAGTGTGAGTTTATCAGAATGACCACTGAGTAAGTTATGTACATCATGTCTAATCGCTGGGGTGGACACCTGAAACTAATATAATAATGTATGTCAACTGTAATTGAAAAATTAAAAGCAATTCAAAAAATAATAAATAAAAAAAGTTGATCAAGAAAAAAGAAACCTGCAAAACTTATCCCAAAGAGCATCTGGGATAGTGCTCCCTGGCATACGTCCTCAGTTTGGCTCAATTAAACTCTTACCAAAAATTAAAAAAAAAATCTCTTCCCTCCACTTTTAAAAAATAGTGAATTAACTTGACTATATATTCTAAATAATTTTTATATATTATGTCATACATTAAATATACAGTATGTATTTAATATGTATTACATAAATATATGTTAAATATATTTATGGGTTGAAAGTATTAATATTGTTATAACCATCCATACTATCCAAAACAATCTGCAGGTTCAATGCAACCTCTATCAAAATTCCAATGACATTTTTCACAGAAATAGGAAAAACCATCCTAAAATTTGTATGGAACCACAAAAGACCCCAAATAGCCGCAGCAATCTTAAGAAAGAAGAGCAAAGCTGGAGGCATCATACTCTCTCATTTCAAACTACATTACAAAGCTTTGGTAGTTAAAACAGATATTGGCATAAAAACAGACAATGATTCGTGGAACAGAATAGAGAACCCAGAAATGAACAAACACATATAGGAAACAAAATGAGTGAGAGAAGATATTTACAAATAATATATCTGATAAGAAGCTAATATCCAAAATATATAAGGTTCTCATGGGGGAAAATCCAATTAAAAATAGGCAGAAAATGTAAATAGACATTTTCCCAAAGAAGACATACTGACGGCCAACAGGCACATGAAAAGATGCTCAACATCACTCATCACCAGGGACATGCAGGTCACAGCCACAGTGAGCTACCATCTCACACCTGTCAGAATGGCTGTTACCAAAAACAGTCAGGAAGAAAGTATTGGCAAGGATGTGAAGAAAAGGGAACCCTAATGC